AAGAGGAGGAGGAGGAGGAAAAGGAGGAGGAAGAGGAGGAGGAGAGGGAGAGGGAGGAGGAGGAGGAGGAGGAGGAGGAGGAGGAGGAGGGGAAGGAGAAGGGGGACGAGGAGGAGGAGGAGGAGGAGGAGGAGGAGGAGGAGGAGGAGGAGGGGGAGGAGGAGGAGGAGGAGGAAGAGGAGGAGGAAGAGGATGAGGAAGCAGAGGCAGCACACTGCCGTAACCATCGCCCTCGTGGCTCGGAGCAGGGCAGCAGTGCACCGCCGAAGGGGGCCCGGCGGAACCTGATGGATTTGCTCCTCCACCTCCACCTCCTAAAACCCCTCCTCCTCTTCCTCCTCTTCCTCCTCCTCCTCCTCCTCCTCCGCCTCCTCCTCCTCCTCCTCCTCCGTTCCTTCTCCTTATGAATAAATACTCCCTGTCGCACCCCGAAGCCAGTTCTTAAGGCGGGCCGGGCGTTCCGCCTAAGACTTCCTCACTATTTATGACTCGGAAGTTTAAAAAAGTGACAACCGTTTAACAGATAGAGGGTGGGTCGCTTTCAAAATGTGGCTCTCCCCTCAGCACCGCGCACATTCGTTTTCAAAACTTGCAGGAGCTTCACGGATTGAGGGCGGGAGGTTTTCAAAATGTGGCTCTCGCCTTAGCGCCGCGTGCACTCATTCTAACCATTTGCAAGAGCTTAACGGATTGAGGGCGGGTCGTTTTCAAAATGTGGCTCTCGCCATAGCGCCGCGCACCTTCTTTTTAAAAATTTGCCAGAGCTTCACGGATTGAGGGCGGGAGGTTTTCAAAATGAGGCTCTCGCCTCAGCGCCACGCACACTCATTTTAACAATATGCAAGAGCTTAACGGATTGAGGGCGGGTCGTTTTCACAATGTGGCTCTCGCCTCAGCACCGCGCACATTTGCTTTAAGAAACTGAGAGGGCTTCACTGATTGAGGGCGGGCCGCTTCCAAAAGATGGCTCTCGCCCTAGCGCCACGCACATTCGTTTTATCAATTTGCAAAAGTTTCACTCATTGAGGGCGGGTCGTTTTCAAAATGTAGCTCTCGCCTTAGCGCCGCGCGCATTCGTTGTAAAAAATTGCAAGACCTTCACGGATTGAGGGCGAGTGGTTTTCAAAATGTGGCTCTCGCCTTAGCGCCGCGCACATTCGTTTTCAAACATTGCGGGAGCTTTACGGATTGAGGGCGGGTGGTTTTCAAACTGTGGCTCTCGCCGTAGCGCCGCGCACATTCGTTATAACAACTTGCAAGAGTTTCACAGATTGGGGCGGTTCCCTTTCAAAAGTGGCTCTCGCCTTAGTTAGCACCTCGCACATTCGTTTTCAAAGTTGCAAGACATTCACGGATTCCCACGATCATCGCACCAGGCATGGCGTTCTGGAAGGATTCAGGGCCATGCGGGTGCAACCGTGACGGAGCAGCTTTCTCTCAGAGGGCGGAGGGGCTTCTCAGAAGCCCCCGCGCCTTCTGAGGAGATCTCCGTGTCTCCGGGGAACGCCCAGCCAAAACTTCTCAACGAGGCCAGAGGATACTGGGTCTTCCGAGACGGGCGGCCCCTTCTCACCTCCCCTCTCCATGCTCGCCGCCGAGCATGTTTGTCTTGCCGGAGGTTGCCAGAGGGGTCGCCGACCTGGGTGCCCCCAGCTCTTCGACCCACCTCGGAGCCCTTGGGAGCCTCTGGGCCTCGCGGGAGCTGCTCTGGAGACCGGGGGGCCTCCTTCGAAATCCTGGGGACACTGACTACCTACCAGACCACCCCAACCCAACCCGAAGACCCGAATGTCGGGTTGGGGGGGTAAGGGTTCCACAGGTGTTTTTCCGATGTTTCCCGACCCCCCCCCCCACCTGGAAATCGAGGGCAAATCTGAGCCTTCGGGTTGGGTTGGGGTGGTTTGGTGGGTGGTGGGACACCTCATGCGCCTCTGGCAACACCCAACTCGGATTCATCGACACAGCTCCCCTGCTGGAAGAGCACGCCCCTTCTATACACGCCACGATCACTTCTCCTGCGCTTCTTTCAGCTCGAGGGGCGCCGCGGCGGGGCAGGGACGAGCCCCGAGCCGTGCCCGTCCGACCATCTCGCTCGAGGACCTGCCGCGAGGCTGGGAGCGGACATGGCCAGATTCGCGTGCGTATGCGCCTCTGGCAACACCCAACTCGGATGAATCGACGCAGCTCCCCTGCCGGACGAGTACACGCCCCTTCTGCACGCCGCGGTCCCTTCTCCCGCGCTTTTCTTTCGGGTCGAGGGGCGCCGGTGCAGGGCAGGGACGAGCCCCGAGCCGTGCCCGTCCGACCATCTCGCTCGAGGACCTGCCGCGAGGCTGGGAGCGGACATGGCCAGATTCGCGTGCGTAACTCAGGAGGGGAAGAAAAACACAGACACAAGTGATCGTCGATCCCCAGGAAGATGTGGGATAATATGGGAAGTGGGGGGCAAGACAAAAATTCGGAAAATATGGAAAGATATGGGGGATATTTCCCTACCTAGGCTCTGCCTAGAAGGGTTCTTACTCTCTTAGCTTTAAGGTGCCAGGCAGTGTAACACGCCCCGGGCGGTTCCCCCAGTCCCCTGGGAGCGGTTCCCCCCAGTCCCCTGGGAGCTTTAGCTTTAGCTTTAGCTTTAGCTTAGCTTTAGCTTAGCTTTAGCTTAGCTGTAGCTTAGCTTTAGCTTAGCGTTTCGCTTAGCTTTTCGCTTAGTTGTTCGCTGAGCTTTAGCTTAGCTTTAGCTTAGCTTGAGCTTAGCTTGAGCTTAGCTTTAGCTTAGCTTTGGCTTAGCTTTAGCTTAGCTTTAGCTTAGCTGTAGCTTAGCTTTAGCTGAGCTGTTGCTCAGCTTTAGCTTAGCTTTAGCTTAGCTTTAGCTTAGCTTTAGCTTAGCTTTAGCTTAGCTTTAGCTTAGCTTTAGCTTAACTTTAGCTTAGCTTAGCTTTAGCTTAGCTTTAGCTTAGCTTTAGCTTAGCTTTAGCTTAGCTTTAGCTTAGCGTTACTGTTACTACTAATGCTGCTTTCCTAGGGGTTCCAACTCCTAGGTAGGGTCGCACTGGGATAATTTTATTTGTGTGTATTTATTTGTGTGTGTGTCCTGGGGCCCCTTCAGTAACGTCCAGACGCCGCGCGCTGGATGCACGCGCGGAAGCCTGGGGGGGCCCGGCCGCAGAGGGGCCGGGCGCTGGAGCGGCATGTGGCCATGTGTGTCCGGGTCTCCTCTTGTGAAGGGGCCCACAAACACACAAATAAATACACGCAAATAAAAAGATTCCCCATATCTTCCCATAGTTTCTGGGTTTTTGTCTTCCCCCCCACTTCCCATATTTTCCCATATTTTTCTGGAGTCGTCGATTAATTGTGTCTGTGTGTTTTTTTCCCTCCTGACCCTTGGCCAGCCGGCCAGCCGCCCCATGTGTACCCAGCTTCCTGATAGGCTCAGGTCGGGCATGTCCCCCTGCAGGCGGATCTTGGACGAAAACTTGTTGCATACAAAAACGCCCAAAACATCTTCACAAGCATCAAAGATAGTCCAAGCTATGTTTGACTAGTTTTGAATGTTCCTCCTGTAGAGGGACAGGCCCGACTTAATGGTGGGCTCTAGACGTTCTTCTGGGTGGGGGATGGGTTGAGGTTGGGGGTTTGATGGTTCTGAAAGTTCTCGTCGCCACGGCCAGACGTCGTGAAGAATCTTCCCAGCTGGAGGATCGAGGATGGAGGCTCGAGGCTGCGGGGGTGCTTCTGGTGGCTTCTTCTTGAGACTCCTGAGACGCCCTCGTAGCCACGGCCGGGTAAGCCTCGAAACCCTTGCTGGGGCGCACCTCACAGGACGGGCCTGGAGGTCGACTCTTGCTGTCGCCACAAACCTCTGACGTCCTGAAAAAATCATAGCTGCCAGACTCTCTAGAGGTATCCCAGACTGGGTCCGAGCAGACGTCGTCGGAGAATCACACCACATCGCCGTCGGCGTTGAGAAAATCGGGCTCCACATCGAGCCGCATCGCCGGCGCAATGGCGATGCGACAAGATCCTGCGAGCCGATCAACTCCGAACCCGTCTAGGAGGCCAAGACTCTTGTCACCCGCCACAAACCACCGGAGTCCCGACAAATTCTGGTATGCCAGACTCTCCGACAAATCGGGCCTCCAGGAGGCCATCTCCGGGCTCGCCGGTGGTCCACCAGAAAGCTGCCCACGCCGCGGGGCCTATATACGAACGGCTGGGGGTCAAGGGGCTCTGGAGCCCCGCGTGCCGAAGAGCCACGGTGTCGGAGGACCGGGGAGGCGGCCACGCCCCCTGGATGCAGAGGCCTCTTCTCCTCCGCAGGGCGAACGCTGCTGAACGCGCAGCCCGATTCGGCCCGCCAGCTTGGGTTACGATGGTCGCTCCCAGGGGGGCGGGGCACTTCGAGGGGAAATTCGCAGTTGCCGGCAGCCGGGCAGGGGGAGAGAGTATGCAGAGATCAAAGGAGAAGAGACGAGAAGAGAAGAGAAGAGAAGAGAAGAGAAGAGAAGAGAAGAGAAGAGAAGAGAAGAGAAGAGAAGAGAAGAGAAGAGATGAGAAGAGAAGAGAAGATAATAGACGAGACGAAAAGAAAATAGAAGAGAAGAAAAGAGAAGAGAAGGAACCAACAGAGAAAGACACAAAAGCACCAATGCATCCGCGCCGGGGCGAGAGACCGACGCAGCCAAGGTGTGATGTAGCCGCTGAGCACAAGAGAGTCGAGAGCATGAGGCATGGAACGATAGGCACGCTTGCTTGTCACAGGAAGGCGACAGCAGCATTACATCGTGAGGCGGCGCGCCATTCGGTACCTGAGCCCGCACGTGAGCCTCGGCGACGCAGACGCTGCCCTCTGACACCGCACGGATCGCTCAACGTCGAAGCGCGTCGTTTCTCGGAGGGCCCGCAGGGGCACTGCGCGCCGAGGAGGGGGAGAGGAGGAAACTGCCAGGCAGTCCCGTCGATGCCGACCGACGCCCCGATGCTCCAGAATGGCGGGGCACATGGAAGCCCAACTTCTTCATCTCGACGATCTGGTTCATCACGGGGTAGATCATACCACTCTTGAGGTAGCCCTGGATGAAAGAGAAGCTGCCATTTCTCCTCATTATCCTGCTGGTCCTCAACCACATCCTCCGTATCCTCCTTTTTCCCAGCTCATTCTCCCCCTCCTTTTCATCCTCCTCCTCCTCCTCCTTCTCCTCCTCCTCCTCCTCCTCCTCCTCCTCCTCCTCCTCTTCATGATCATCATTATCAGCATCATCATCATCATCATCAGCAGCAGCATCATCAGCATCATCATCGTCTTCCTCCTAATCATCATCATCAGCATCATCAGCATCGTCGACATTGCCATCATCATCATCATCATCAGCATCATCATCATCAGCAGCATCATCAGCATCATCATCATCAGCAGCGCATCACCATCATCACCACAACCATCAGCATCCTCATCAACATCATCATCATCGTCATCATCATCACCGTCATCATCAGAATCATCAGCATCAACATCATCATCATCAGCAGCATCAGCATAATCACCACCATCATCACCGTCACCAATAGTATCAGACATCCTAAATATTCCACATCCTCAAACCGTCGATCAATGACCACCACGTACACATGCTCTCAAACACCATACTTGCAACAGAAAACACAACCATCGCAACGAATGTATGGCACCCCTCCCCCTCCTCTTACGGCACCCCTCCCCCTCCCCCTCCTCTTACGACAGCAGAACCAAAACACACGATGCACGTCCAACATCAGATCCGCTGCCCCTCATGGGGCTATCACCGCACCCATTGCATCTAAGGCTTGACCTGCGACCGTGACTTAAAGTAGCCGGCCGGGTAGACATCACCCCTAGCGGTGAGGAGGAGGAGGCGAAGGAGGAGAACACGGAGAAATAAGGCGTTGGAGTTGAGCGTGCATCCCCCATGGTGCGCCCGACCATTGATATAATGGGGCCCCGAAGCACGGCAATCAAAGAGAAGCCTAACTCCTGACAGTACATATCATCTAGGATCTCGTGCAAGGTACAAGTGGTATTAACAACGCCCGGAGTTCTATCACGCAGAGGGGGGGAACCAGAGGAGGGGAAGGGGGCACAAGCGTGCGGGTGTGGCGCGGAGAAAATAAACCGCACCGTTATAGCTTGAAAGTGCCTGCGCATGCGCCGCATGCAAGGAAACGCTGGGTATGACAGGAGCCTGCCAGCAGAAGCACCAGAAGCGCAAGAGGGAGGCAAGGGAACCAGAACCGGGCCGAACGTTGGGTGCACACACTCGCCAACTAAGATACCATATGAAACTATACGCCGCACGCGAGGCGGGGAAGGGGGAAGACAAGGGGGCGGAGCCCGGAAATAGTGCCCGGGGTCGGCCGACTGCGGCCCCCGACAGGCCACACGCACGGCACGTGCGAACGGCGGGCCCCGGTCCAGCCAGTTCGGAGGGGGAGGGAGCCAAAGAGAGAGGGGGGAGGGAAGGAAAGCTCCGATCGATCGATGCTCTGAACCCTGCCCCTGCCAGGCGGGCACCACAAATCTAGCGAGGCGGGGCGATCCAGGAGGAAGGAGGGGGGGCGAGGAGAGCGACGACGAGGAAGGAGAGGAAGGAGGGGAAGGTGAACCACTCCCGCCGAGTGTCGCTCAGATCCACACGCCCTCCAGGCGAGCAACACGAAAGGCGCGGCGGAGCGGACCTGGAGGAGGGAGCGGGGCGGGGAGGACGACCACGACGAGGAGAAAGGAGGGAGGGAGGGAGGGGAGGAGGACCGCCCTCGCCGAACGCCACACCGAGCTGCGTGCACTCCGGCTGGGTTCCAGAGTATGGTGCGACACTAGCAGCGGTCGCCGAGAGCACGCTGCGCGTTTAGCAAGCGGGTCGATCCAGGAGGAAGGAGGGGGGCGAGGAAGGCGACGACGAGGAAGGGGAGGAAGGAGGGGAAGGGGAACCACTCCCGCCGAGTGTCGCTCAGATCCACACGCCCTCCAGGCGAGCAACACGAAAGGCGCGGCGGAGCGGACCTGGAGGAGGGAGCGGGGCGGGGAGGACGACCACGACGAGGAAAAAAGGAGGGAGGGAGGGAGGGGAGGAGGACCGCCCTCGCCGAAAGCCACACTGAGCTGCGTGCACTCCGGCTGGGTTCCAGAGTATGGTGCGACACTAGCAGCGGTCGCCGAGGGCACGCTGCGCGAGCAAGCGGGTCGATCCAGGAGGAAGGAGGGGGGCGAGGAAGGCGACGACGAGGAAGGGGAGGAAGGAGGGGAAGGGGAATCGTTCCCGCCGAGTGTCGCTCAAATCCATACGCCCTCCAGGCGAGCAACACGAAAGGCGCAGCGGAGCGGACCTGGAGGAGGGACGAAAGGAGGGAAGGAGGGAGGGGAGGAGGACCGCCCTCGCCGAACGCCACACCGAGCTGCGTGCACTCCGGCCGGGTTGCAGAGTGTGGCGCGACACCAGCAGCGGTCCCCGAGGGGCACGCTGCGCGGCCGCGTGCCCGGGGGCCAACTCGCGAGCGGACTGGCGACAAGCCTCGCACGCCGCGGCCCCCGACGGACGGCGCAGCATCCTTCTCCTTCCTCCTCCTCCTCCTCCTCCTCCTCCTCCTCCTCCTCCTCCTCCTCCCTCCTCCCTCCTCCTCCTCCTCCTCCCTCCTCCTCTCCTACTCCTCCTCCTCCTCCTCCTCCTCCTCCTCCTCCTCCTCCTCCTCCTCCTCCCCCTCCTCCTCCTTCATCCGCTCTTCCTACACATTCCTCGAAGAGCGGAGGTGAACCTAAGAAATGGAGGAGCAGAAACAGGAGCAGGATGAGCTCGGAGCAGGAGGAGCAGGAGCAGGATGGGGGGAGGCAGGAGGGACGCCGAGAGGAGGAATGAGGATGAGGCGGAGCAGGGGAAGAAGGAGGACAACGAAGACCAGGCAAAGGAAGACGAGCAGAGGTAGAGGATGAGGACAGGGAGAAGGAGCAGGGGGCGGACGGGGTGGAGGTGGAGGCCGGCGGAGGAAGGAGAAGAGGAGGAGCAGCAGGAGCGGGGAGGCCAGGAGACGAAAGGAAGGAGGAGGAGGAGGAGGAGGAGGAGGAGGAGGAGGAAAGGCCTTGATAGTGAGAGACAAGCCGCGGGCGGTTGGCTTCATGCGGTTCCGCTTCATCTCGGCGGCCACTTCGCCAACCTCAGAGCGCCCCGCCCCAGACCCCACTCCCTCCTGCCGATGTTCCTCACTCCCACCTTCAGTCTCTTCCGCCCCTCACTCTTCAAGAATGTGCAGCCGTGAGCTCAATGTGTCCAACAACTGCGGCGGACCATTACCCATTTTGCGCATCCAGCGAGTCCATTCTGAGCCCGAGAGTGTATGAGGCACATGCGCATCCAGCTTGGCTATAGTGTGCAACATGAAGCGCGATGCCTTCCAGAGCTTCCGTGCTGAGTCAAACAAGCAAGCATGGAATGGAGTGGCAAAACAAAGCACGCGCGATGCAGACAAGTGCAACAACAAATAGATATCCTTGTCCTCGGCACCGACGGAAGCGTAGCCTCCACTGAGCACCTGACCATCACGGAAGCAAATGCAGAATGAGCAGGACCAGTGGCATGCACCAAAATGACCACCGTACAGTCGGATCCCCCTCTTCGTCTAAAACTGACTCGGCTGGTCACGGCGTGTGGCTGGTCACCACCGAGTGCATGACCCAGCGCAAGATTCCCCCCGAGCGTGCAACAGCGGCGGGGTTGTCTTAGATCGACGCGTGCGGTGACAAGGCCCTGGGGTTACACCAGTCTTGCCGTGCTCAATACCAAGAGCTTGTTTCTAACTGATCGCGGGAGCGCCCTTCACCAGGGCCGCGCCCCCTCCCTTTCCCCCCTGGGAGGTCACTTCTCTTGGCTGCACCGTCCAGGAATGGCTCGGAGTAGCTGACTCCCAAACGACACAGGCGCAGCGCAAACCGTGACGATACTGGTCTCCTCCTCCCCGCATCGCCACACGATTGAAAACAAGCGCCAATCCTTGCCACTGGAGGCGTCGTACAGCGCAGCGCCAGCCCTGTCCAATGGGCGCCTCGTGCCTCTGGCCTGCGGAAATCGACGGTCGCACGCGTACTCGGAGGCGCTAGTGCGAATTGGCCCCATGCGGAAGAATGGGCAAAAGGCAAGAGAAATGGCCGCAGGAAAGGTAAGGAAAGAAGTCCGGGGCGCACTTGCGCCGCGGGCGAGGCGCCTCGTACACGGAGGAAGTGGGTGGTATCTGGAAGGTCGTGTTGAAGGTCTTCCACAGCGTGGCCATGGCGGCGGTGTTACCTGCGGGGCGTTGCGGCGCGAGACGACCAATGTTTAAATATTGTTCCAAATCTCTCCACCCACAATCTCTTGATGCAGAAAGAAACAGGCAGATGATAGGATATCTTATACCGAATCAAACTCAGCGTTCGATAGGTGCGTCCACCCTCCCGCCTCAGCTGGCGGGTCCAAGCCACAAATGGCAATAGTGAGCAAGAGAGTGCAAGCATGAGCGAGCGAGAGCAGCAGCATAGATAATTCTAATTACCATCCTATATCTCGCATCCCTGCTAATACAACTTTCACACAGGAAAAGGAAACGTTGCTAAAGAATACCTTGGCAAATTATGCAGCAAGCTTCTAGAAGATTGAACAATATTATCGGTTCGAACGGTCAAGCTACCGTCCGTGCACCAGGCAACAGATATCAAATAACGAAATCCAAGATTCTCTGCTCGAATGGTCAAACTACCGTTCGCGCACCAAGCAACAAATATCAAGATAAAGGGAATCAACGCACCACGCAACATATAATTAGATAGCAGAAATCCACGCACTGAGCAACAGACGGAAAAACATACCCTGCGACGTACCCAACCCACGTGTATCAAATGGCAAGAGGAGTATGCCAACATTAGCAGGAACAACGACAGTGTAGACGCGGCGATTTGCTGTGCAAGCTACATGGGATGCGCATGCGTCGCACGATTCACAGGACGACGATCGAAAGAACGAGGCATGAGGCCCCAGGATCGAAGAAGAACGGGTACGGGAACGAGGGGTAGGAGAGGGATGGAATGGAGGGCGGGGGGGGGGCGAAAGGACATCGCGGATGCAGCAGCACGCATGGAGAAGGTGAGGCGGGGAATAGGACGACGATGAAAGTGGCGGGAGGAGACAGAAGACTGCCGCGTTTTTCAAGTGCGAGCTAAACCCGCAGCGCTGCCTGCGCCATGTCGTCGCAGAGTTCCACATGATAAAACTTGTTTAGAGTGCAAGGAACGAGCGAGGCGTAGCTCGCCCGCTAGCTTCTCCGCCTCCTTCCCGCACATTTCAGCGCGGGAGCTGAACGCTCGCAGGCGCGCCGCCAGGTCTGCGGGCGGCCCGCGGGAAAGAAACTCAAGGCCGGGGTCGCGTATCATCAATCGGTTGTCCATCGTCCAAAGTTGCACTGGCGACGTACTGGTTGAACGCGGAGCGAGCAGCATCACGCGCGTGCCTGAACGCCACGCAGGTACAGTGCACGCGCGATTGGGACTTCAGGTCGATCACGCGCGTCTCCACCAGGCTTGGCAACACCACGCGACTGAGGATCTCACTGCGGTCTGCCATGCTGCTGTCCGCGAATGCAATGCGCTGCCTGCAAGTAAGGCGGCGGCGTCCACTTGTCTCAGAAGATGTTCCCGCGGGCCCGAAGGGCGACCGCCAGCTCGAGCCGCGGCGCCGGCAGGCCAGATAAGGACCATGCAACAGCAAAGACGATGACAGAGCAACGAGGTATCGGCGAGTGCATGACCGGCCTCCGTTTCCTGCACTTCTTTCCTGTAGTTCCCCTAGCTCATCGAGCTCAGCAGATGTTTCTGCGGGTCCGAAGGACGACCGCCAGCTCGAGTCGCAGCGCCACGTGGCACGAACCGCAGAGCAAGGGCACGCGAGCATTGCTCGTGGTCAGAATCTGAGTCCCCGTGGTGCCTCACTCCGCTGGCCACCCACCAGCAGCCCTCGAAAGTGGCGACAGTTTCACAGATCGCAGCCGCCCGGGTGGCGAGGTCTAATCTGAGTCTCCGTGGTGCCTCACTCCGCTGGACCCACCAGCAGCCTCGAAAGTGGCGACAGTTTCACACAGGGATGGCGAGGTCTAATCTGAGTCCCCGTGGTGCCCCACTCCGCTGGACCCACCAGCAACCCTCGAAAGTGGCGACAGTTTCACAGATCGCAGCCCCCCAGATGGCGAGGTCTAATCTTAGTCCCCGTGGTGCCTCACTCCGCTGGACCCACCAGCAGCCCTCGAAAGTGGCGACAGTTTTACAGATCGCAGCCCCCCAGAGATGGCGAGGTCTAATCTGAGTCCCCGTGGTGCCTCACTCCGCTGGACCCACCAGCAGCCCTCGAAAGTGGTGACAGTTTCACAGATCGCAGCCCCCCCCCAGAGATGGCGAGGTCTAATCTGAGTCCCCGTGGTGCCTCACTCCGCTGGACCCACCAGCAGCCCTCGAAAGTGGCGACAGTTTCACAGATCGCAGCCCCCCCCCCAGGGATGGCGAGGTCTAATCTGAGTCCCCGTGGTGCCTCACTCCGCTGGACCCACCAGCAGCCCTCGAAAGTGGTGACAGTTCCGCAGATCGCAGCCCGCCAGGGATGACGTGAAAGGCAAGAGAAGAGAAGAGGAGGAGCGAAGAGAGGAGGAGAAGGCAAGCAAGAGAGGAGAGGAGGAGGGAAGAGAGGGGGGGGCGGGAGGAGGAGAACGGAGACCGCAGTGCTCTATTCAAAACGAGTACCCAACGCAGGAGGGTTGGGACAAAACTTCACCTGAGGTCTGCGCACCGAGCAACAGATCTCAATATATAAAATATTTACCTGAGCTCTTGAGGGGGTGGGTTCGCTCCTCATCTGTAGATAGTGACCAAACATCAATCATCATCTGTAAACGGTAACCCAAATCACTCATCATCCTCCCCACCGTTCACATCTGAGCCACTGCCTTGGCTGGCTCCAAGATATCGTCACATATATAGTAGTGGGGATCGGCGTACACGCACTGCTGACTTGATGATGCTGCATGCAGTGTAACTCTTGATGCTCGGGTCGAGGTTATAACTCCTGCTCTCGTGTGCGTCCAGCTTGAGACACCGTCCAAGGCAATTTGCGTAGTGCCTGTCCTTCGTATAGATCGTCTCGTAGCTGTCGCCCTCGTACTTGCCACTCCTGATTATCGTCGGTCCCATGGTCTCCAGGCACTGCCTCAGTAGAGCACTATCTCCCAGCATAATTGGTCCATCTCCCATGATCTCGTCGTCATCGGCCACTGGATCGGCTCGTACTGCGAGTGTTGTCGTCGTAGCTTTCGGCGTAGCCTTCGCCGTTCTGGATTTGACCTTGACCTGCTTCTCGGGCAACTCCGGCATGAACAGGTTGTCGCTGCTTGAACTACGCACCTCCATCGGCTCAGCGGTGTCCTCGTCGTCGTTCTGCTGAGGCTGCATTACGTAGATGAATACGATGATACCCGCGATGATAGAGACTAACAACTGTCACCGCCGTAGGAGACATCGAAAGACAAACCCCATACACTGCAAGTGCACAAAGTTGAAACAGAACTACAAGTTGGTCATGTATCTGGATGGTTCTCTGCGCGCCACTCCTCTCCATCGGGTAGTTGTCCGTTAGCTCTTCCGTGTAGAATGCCTCGACGTAGTCCTCGTCTTGAACCTCGTCCTTGTTCGTCGTAGAAGCACTCGTCCACGTAGTTGTACGTCTCCACCGGCCACGTAGAGATCTCCTCGTCGTCCTTCCCGGTGTCATCGTACAGCTCCTGCTTGACGTACTTGGTCATCTTCGCGTTGAGCTCGTCTACCTCCTTGTTGGCTGCTACCTTCTCTGGTCCAACAAGCTTTCGTCCGCGTACTGATGGTGCCCCGTCATCAGGCCCAAGAGTCCACAAATTTGATGTAACTATCTTCCTCGCGTAGCCTCCTGGAAGTACTTTTGTCAAACAGTCCGCTAGCATCTGCTCACTCTTGACCCACTTGATGCTGACCTCTTTGAGTGACTGCCGCAATATATTCTCGCTTCCAAAGAAAGCCCCCTGTCCGTCATAGAAATCTTCTCCTTTATGATCGTGTCGTATAGGCTCTTGCCGTCGGTCACCGAAATGCATTTCACCAGGCAGGTGTCGTGCACAATCTCGGCCTTGTCCATCTCCGGGTACAGGAGCTCCGCCAGGGTCGACCTTGTCCATATCAACATGTCCACCGAATCCGCACATGAATAGGCCTCCGCCGATAGAGTAGATCGCACCACTCGTTGAATTTTGGAAGACTGCCACCCAATGCAGTGTACCTTGTACTTGTTACTGTGGTCCTCGTTGATCTTCTGGTCGCCCAGCATAATGAAGCGTCCGCGTTGTGATCTGTGCTTCGGCAGATTGTCGAAAGCACTGCCGGTGACATTGAGCACCATGGTCTCCCACAGGTTCAGGCCTGCTGAGAACCTGATCAACAAGTCGCCCCGTTTCTGCATCCGCCTGATGGCCGCGTTGCCGTCCTGTAGGTCCTTCACCGTCGGAGCTCCCAGCGTAGATGCCAGTCGGGATGCCTCGAAGGCCTCCTCGAAGCATATCACTCGCGCAGCCCATTGCAGTTGCCCAACTACCATTCGTAGTCCACGATGCTCTGCATGGGTCAAGGCGCTATCTGGTGCCTTGCTGCGCTCTCTGGAGATACGCACAATCTGCATCGACTTCACGTAGGCCTCCATGGTGACGTTGAGGCTGCCGTCCTTGTCCTGCCTGTAGGCCCGGCCACAGAACGTCGCCTGCTCTTTCCTCGCGTACTTGACCTCGCCAAAGTCGATATCCTTCTGCAGGTCCTTCATGATCTTGGCGCCCTCCGGGTCATCCTGCTTGGTGCCCATGAGGAAGTCGTCCACGCGCAGGCACATGATCCCGATGATCGTGCCCTCCGCATTGCGCTTGATGAAGGTCGCGGGTTCGAAGCTCAGGCCTTCCCATCCAAGCTTCACGAGCGTCTCGCGTAGTGCCACATACCACGCACGAGCTGCATCGCTGGCCCCGTAGATGCTCTCGTTTAACTTCAGCAAGTCGCCTGCCTTCACTCCCAGAATGTCGCACTTCCCGAGGTTCGTCGGGATACGAAAGTAGAGCTCGCGTGTGATGGCTTTGCCTTGCAGAAAGGCTCCCTTCACATCTGCTATGACTAAGTCCAAATTGAGGCTTGATACGATGCTGCACAGGAGTAACGTCATTTGTGCTGAGACTGTAGGTGAGTCCCGTCGTAGCTTGT